TTGGCCAGAGTAGAATCCCGTGTTGCTTAGAGAGTTGCCACGGGGATGGTCAACAATGGAGAACCCGAGACCAAAGAACGCCAGAGGCCAAATGTCCCGCACGGCAGGCATACACACGCAGAGCGGCATGTGAGAAAGAGCCATGTTTACGACATGCAGAGGCGGGCAGGAACCAAACCTTCCCGGATGGAGGATAGAGCCTAAATATTCAACCAAAGTACTGATCGGGAACTGGCTGGAAGAAAGGAAAAAGGTACGTTCCGGGAAGTCAAGTATTGAGAGACCTAGAACAAGGAGGCATTGCCTTCAGATTCAAATTGGCCCTGAGACCATTATGGGTCACATCTGGAAGGTCTCACAACTGTTATTCTTCTAGTTTCAGTTCCACCCATGATTCTAAAACCATGGTCCGGGAAGTCAAGTATTGAGAGACCTAGAACAAGGAGGCATTGCCTTCAAATTCAAATTGGCCCTGAGACCATTATCAGTCACATCTGGAAGGTCTCATAACTTTTTCTTCTAGTTTCAGTTCCACCCATGATTCCAAAACAGTGGTTCCCGACCTGTGGTCCGTGGACCACCAGTGGTCCAAAAGAACAAAAATATGGTCCGCAACCTCACCATGACCACACTGTTGCCTCGAAACCATGCAACTGGTCCCTCGTCAAGGTGGTCCCAGATCAAGGTGGTCCTTGGTCAAGACAACAGGATTGTTGAGAGGGGGGTGGCTGGTAGTTTGCTACTACCACATCAGCTCTAGATGATTAAATAGGGTCCTCAAGGCAACAGGGATGTTGAGAAGGGGGAGGCTGACTACCCTCGAAAATTTGGGACTACCACATCAGCTCTAGATGATTCAATATGGTCCTCAAGACAACAGGGATGTTGAGAGGGGGGAGGCTGACTACCCTTGAAAATTTGGTACTACCACATCAGCTCTAGATGATTCAATATGGTCCTCAAGACAACAGAGATGTTGAGAAGGGGGAGGCTGACTACCCTCAAAAGTTTGCTACTACCACATCTTCTCTAGATGATTAAATATGGTCCTCAAGACAACAGGGATGTTGAGAGGGGGGAGGCTGACTACCCTCAAAAGTTTGCTACTACCACATCAGCTGTAGATGATTAAATATGGTCCTCCATGGGTGAGCAGATGGTGACTATTGGATGGCATATGTCCTGCATCAGGAACCAGAGCTGATGTGGTCTATCCAATTTAGTTTTCTGAATCAGCACCCCAAAGAACCAAACCATATCTAACGTTGACCAAAAAACTGATTTGTAACCCTTTTGGTACTAATGTTGGAGAATGGTCCCTGGTCAAGGTGGTTCCTGGTCAAATTTGTTCCTGGTCAAGGTGGTCCCTGGTCAAGGTGGTCCCTGGTCAAAGAGGTCCCTGATGAAGTGGTTCCTGGTCAAAGAGTTCCCTGATCAAGTGGTCCCTGGGCAAAATGGTCCCTGGTCCAGATGGTCCCTGGTCAAGGTGGTCCCTGGTTAAACTGGTCCCTGGTCAAAGTGGTCCCTAGTCAAAGTGGTCCCTGGTCAAGTGGTCCCTGGTCAAGGTGGTCCCTGGTCAAGGTGATCCCTGGTCAAAGAGGTCCTTGGTCAAGTGGTTCCTGGTCAAAGTTGTCCCTGGTCAAGGTGGTCCCTGGTCAAGTGTTCCCTAGTCAAAGTGGTCCCTGGTCAAACTGGTCCCTGGTCAAAGTGGTCCCTGGTCAAAGAGGTCTCTGGTCAAGGTGGTCCCTGGTCAAAGTGGTCCCTAATAAAAGTGGTCCCTGGTCAAGTAATCCCTGGTCAAAGTGGTCCCTGGTCAAAGTGGTCCCTGGTCAAAGAGGTCCCTGGTCAAGGTGGACCCTGGTCAAAGTAGTCCCTGGTAAAGGTGGTCACTGATGAAGCTGCTCCCTGGTCAAGTTGTCCCTGGTCAAAGTGGTCCCTGGTCAAGTGGTACCTGGTCAAAGAGGTCCCWGTAAAGTGGTCTCTTGTCAAAGTGGTCCCTGGTTCAAGGTGGTCACTGGTGAAGCTGCTCCCTGGTCAAGGTGGTCCCTGGTCAAGTTGGTCCCTGGTCAAGRTGGTCCCTGGTCAAGTGRTCCCTGGTCAAGTGGTCCCTGGTCAAGGTGGCCCCTGGTCAAGTGGTCCCTGGTCAAGTGGTCCCTGGTCAAAGTAGTCCTTGGCCAAAGTTGTCCCTGGTCAAGGTGGCCCCTGGTCAAGTGGTCCCTATTCAAAGTGGTACCTGGTCAAGTGGTCCCTAGTCAAAGTGGTCCCTGGTCAAGTGGTCCCTTGCTCAAGGTGGCCCCTAGTCAAAGTGGTCCCTGGTCAGGTTAGTCCCTAGTGGTCCCTGTTTATAGTGGTCCCTGGTCAAAGWGGTCCCTGGTCAAAGTGGTCCCTGGTCAAAGAGGTCCCTGGTCAAGTGGTCCTTGGTCAAAGTGGTCCCTGGTTAAAGTGGYCCCTGGTCAAAGTGGTCCCTGGTCAARGTGGTCCCTGGTCAAGGTGGYCCCTGGTCAAAGTGGTCCCTGGTCAAGGTGGYCCCTGGTCAAGTGGTCCCTGGTCAAGTGGTCCCTGGTCAAGGTGGCCCCTGGTCAAGTGGTCCCTGGTCAAGTGGTCCCTGGTCAAAGTAGTCCCTGGTCAAGGTGGCCCCTGGCCAAAGTTGTCCCTGGTCAAGGTGGCCCCTGGTCAAAGTGGTCCCTGGTCAAAGTGGTCCCTGGTCAAAGTGGCCGTGGTCAAAGTGGTCCCTGGTCAAAGTGGTCCCTGGTCAAAGTGGTCCCTGGTCAAAGTGGTCCCTGGTTAAAGTGGTCCCTGGTGAAAGTGGTCCCTGGTGAAGCTGCTCCCTGGTCAAGTGGTCCCTGGTCAAGTGCTACCTGGTCAAAGAGGTCCCTGGTCAAGGTGGTCTCTGGTAAAAGTGGTCCCTGGTCAAAGAGGTCACTGGTGAAGCTGCTCCCTGGTCAAGGTGGTCTCTCGTTAAAGTGGTCCCTGGTCAAAGAGGTCCCTGGTCAACGTAGTACCTGATCAAGTGGTCCTTGGTCAAAGTGGTCCCTGGTCAAGTGGTCCCTGGTCAAAGTGGTCCTTTTTTAAAGTGGTCCCTGGTTCATCCTGATAGCCATCAAAATGACGGAGAAACGAGCCTCGGATTTTGCCTCGTCACCACTCTTAATGAAACAATTACGAAGCTTCGGAGATTCGGATTACGAAGTTGCGAAATGAAGCAGGAGCCATCCGAATGTCGTGTGAAATCCGAATTGGATTTCAGCCGGTTCTCACACCTCTAATGTTTATGTCTCTATTCCCCCCTCGCCCACAGTTCATACGGGACCACCGAGGAACCGGCAACAGCACGTACGGGCGAGATTTCGTTCGATTTCCGACAGAAGTCCCGGACCGAACGGTGATGAGGAGGATGATGAAGACGATGGACGTAAGTTGCGTACCAAATCGCGAGGTGCATCTACACAGTCGAGTCGAGTCAGGATTGCATAGTATTCAGCCACGGCAGTTCCAGTGGGGCCAAACTGGATTAACTGGGCAATGTGGAAGCGCCCTCCGCCCAACATTACGAGGGTCTAATGCGTAAGAGAAAGGAGCGAGAGCAGGATCTCCGCCGAAATACGAACCCAGCTTTCGTCAACGCATTACGAATGAGATCTTATGCGGAAAAGGCCGTTGGTGACTTCTCTTATCGTCAGCGTCATCGCAAGAAGATCAGTCGAAATTGGGAATTGCTCACCCAAAAAAGTCTTTAGGGGGCTCTTTCGCATTACGCAATTACGTTGCCGTGATTCCGCTTGAACTCCTTTAACTCCATCCCACAAGATTTCCTTTCCTCTCCTTTCCTCTTCTCTTCTTTTCTTTTTTTTTCTTTTCTTTTCTCTTCTCTTCTCTTCTCTTCTTTTCTTTTCTTTTCTTTTCTCTTCCTTCCTTCCTTCCTTCCTTCCTTCTTTCCTTTCCTTTCCTCTCCTCTCCTTTTCTTTTCTCTTCCTTCCTTCCTTCCTTCCTTCCTTCCTTCCTTCCTTCCTTCCTTCTTTCCTT